GGTTCGTTAAGGCCGGTTCTTGTATCACTCGCACGGGTGAATTACTAGTATTATTAGTTAGACGATCCTAGCTTGTAGAAACTCTGGACGAATGCCTTCTTTTATTCAGGGTGCATTCAAATGAAAAGATTTGACGGAGACATTTCAAATTTTAAATTCATAATAATATAATAATTGATTGAATTTGTGTGGATTAAGTTATTTGAGCATAAATTTTTAATTTGTATCCCTCTTTTTCTTTAATTTTTTTTGTTCTTTTAGCAATTGCGATGAATTTCAAATTATTTCGTACTTAGACTCACTTCAAATTGTTCCTATTTGAATCCATCGATTTCAAACCCTTCAATTAAATTACCACGGTTCGGTTTGGTTCCGGTTCTGATTTTGGAGGAACTGGAACCGAACTGAATATTTCCGGTTCTTTATGGTTCGACTCCAAACGGTTCCTTGTTCGGTTCCCGATTTTAACCGTAGAACCAGACGATTCTTAATACTTTTTTATTTTATTTTATTATTATATTTAACTTAAAAAATACTTCAAAATAGTTATTTTTTTATTAAAACAGTGGAAAGCGTACTTAAAAAACTTACATTTTTTTTTCTTAAAAAAATATTTTTGTAATTTTAAAAAATTTGAAGGAACTAATTGTGGTTTTAAAAATTAAAAAAAGAAAAAGAAAATAAATTAAAAGGGCTTAAAAAAAGGAAAAGGTAAGAATTAGTTGTAATTATAATTAATATTTAATTATTTAAAAAAAGCGGTTAGAATGGTTCTAACCGAAGTTCTAACCGCCAATTAACGGTTATAAAAATGAGGAAACGGAACCAAACCAATTTTTTCGATTCCGATTCCAAGTCAAACCGGTTCCAGTTCATTAAAAAACCGTTGACCCCGGTTCAGTTCCGATTTCGATTCTAATCGAACCAGTGGTCATGTCTGAATGTACCCATTAAATGAAAGTTTAATAGGAAACATCATATCAATTTTTTTTTTTTTTTTTTTTTTTTTGTATATTTAGTTATATATAACATTGGTTTACGATGGGCAACGATCTATCATAAACATAGTCCAGTCCCCTAGCCCTTTCCTAAGAACCCAATCAAGAATCACAAGGCTGTAAGATTTAGAGTAAAATACAATCTGCACCCCTGTACTATAGTTATTATCATATTTACCCCTTGTACTGTTGAAAAATCCAAAATGATCGCTACCGTTTCCAACCGTTAGCTATTCGTTAGTCAAATCTGATGTGGCGATTTGACCTTGGTTGTTGGTATTTTTCAAATGAGTTTAGCCTTCAAGTGTGTAATTATTTAAAGAGATATATATAGTTTCAAAATAAACTTCATTATTTCAATAAGTGGTAAATAATTAAGATGCTTCTCCAATGAAAATTTCATAAAACGTAAAAGGCATAATAGCATAAGAGCAACTCCAATTTTAAATATCAAAACTGAATTATCAAATATTCTTTGATATTTGAGATTTAATGTTGATTAAAATCTATCTATTCCAACCATGATTATCAAATTAATTATCAATTAAAAGTTCATGGGTGATTTTATTTGTAACTGTCACATCTCTAACTTGTGATTGGATGTTTAGACAGTTACATTTTTGAGAACTCAATTTCCGGCAAGTATATTTGCATTCGTCCCAAGAGGTGAATTATCAAAATAGAACTCTCATTTGATAACCCTTTGGGGTTAAAAATTTCTATTTTTTAGTGTATAAATGATAGTTAAATATTTGAATACCATGTTTGATAAACTAAAAAATAAAATAAAATAAAATAAAAATAAAATAAAATAAATAAAAATAAAAATATATTGGGGGACAAACATAGAGTAATATTAAAATTTAACGAAAACATGACACAATATTAAATTGATCAAACTCAGAAAAATTAGAAGAAAAGAAAGAAAACAAATGGAGATCCGAAATGGCAAAATGGGCATAGAGCTGTTGGGCCGATGAACAGTCAAATTCGTCGTTCTGTGTATATATATATATATATATATATATATATGTATTCGCCGTCTTATGTTGAAAGACAATGTTAAAATTTCATAGAAAAGTCAACTATATATATATATATATATACATATACATACAATCCACGTGTACGTATCCTCCTCATTCAAGAAAATCGGCCAACGCCGCATATAATCTTCTCTCTCTATAGAGTCTAGACTACTATAAATACATGCACATATGCATGCAAAATTATCAGAGTGATCTAATCTTATCAAAATCATCACTTACAACTATTATTAGCAGCAATATTCAGAACTTAGATATGGCGGATTGTCCAGGCAAGAATTTCTGGCCGGAGTTGTTGGGGGCCAACGGCGACGCAGCAGCGGCGGTGATAGAGAGGCAGAACCCTAATGTGAACGCTGTTGTCTCGACAAATCCAACTCCGACAACTAGAGACTTCAGGTGCGACCGCGTGTGGGTTTGGGTCAACGCGAACGGTGTGGTGCTCCGCGCTCCTCGCGCCGGCTAATTAATGCGTGTGCAAGAAATTATTTGATGTTTAATCAAGAATAAGTTAAATGTATTATTTGTATTATGTTTATTGTTGTAATAAAGTTGATATTGCTTTTTCAGCAATATTTAATGGTGGTGATGAATAAATAACTTTTTTTTCTATATATCTTCATCACTTTCATAAACTTGATAGCATTTTGGAGCTTCATGAAATATGAGTGAATTATATTTAGTATCTCTATGAAAATTGCAACTGCGTTATTCACTACAAGAAAAAGTTGCATTAGCGACACCCTAATTGTGACAAACGCAAAAGTTGTCACTTAATGCACACATTAAGTGACAACATTTTTTTTATTGTCACTAATAACTCTTTTTGTTGTCACTTAATCCTTATTTATTGTCACTATAGAGCATTAGCGACACCCAGTTAGTGACAAGCATAGTGACAACACTTTTTGCCTAACTATTTGAAAAATAGGTGTTGTCACTCAAAAGATTTTTTTTTGTAGTGATTCTTCCTATCATAAAAAAATTTAGCAAATACTCCATGTATTTATTTTTAAATTTTTGGATTATATAGTATTACATATCAATTATTCAATTTTTTTGTTCAATTGTTTTAGTTTAAGCTATTGTATTCGATATGCAGTTAAAGCAGTTGTTATTAAATATAGTTTTAATAATTAATTTGGGTTAAATGAAGAATTTGAATAATTAAGGGATTATGATATGGTACACACTGAGACCAAGAATGTACTTGCGTTTTGTACACGAAATTTCATTTTTTTGATATTTATCCCTTTTCACCTATTTTGGCTTAATTAATTATTTACACTGAACCGGATCGTTTGTTTTTTTTTTTTTTTTTTTTTTTTTACTATTTTGTATTGCATATCAATTTGTGATCTTACTCTTTTGATGAATTGTTTTCTACTCAAATATTTCCGTGTCAATTACTAATTGGTTAAGTGTAATTTATACACTCAACAATTAACTTTGATTTGATATCCAAAAGTAATCGAACCAACCTTGCCACTTTACACTCAATAGTTAACCTTGCCACTAATTGTTAGGTTATGTTTGTAACACATGATTAGTCTAGTGTAATTTACGTATCTCATACACCTAAATGATTGGATGTGTATTTTTCGTTATAAAAAAAAAAAAAAATTATTTTACAAATTCTTGTTGCAATTAAATAACATTTATTCCAACATATAACGATCTAGTTTGGCTCGTAAATTTTATATTGATTCTTCTCAAAATACAAACAAATATTTTTGTTTCTTTATCAAATTATCCTTTCAAAACACCTACAGTTAAACCTTTTTAAATTAATAGTTCGGATTAACAAAATTTTATTAATTTAGCGAAATATTAAATTATTGAACTAATAATTTAATACGTTTTTATCAAGTTGGGGCTAGAAAAAAGTATTATTTAAGCGAGATTATTAATTTATTGAGTATTAATTTATCGAGGTTTTACTCTACGTCAACTTTCCAAAAATAAAAAGAAAAAATATATTGGGGCAAACATAGATTAATATTAAAATTTAAGGAAAACATGAAAAAATAACTGATATGTCTAATTGAGCCAACCCAACGGGCTTACAATTTTATTATTTACTGTGCCACGAACCCAATATTGAAGACCACTCCAATTGATGTCCAATCATCTTCAAATAAGGTTTGGGCCCGACAATTACAATCAAATAACTTCAGTCCAACCAACTCTGTATAACTAATAAATAAAGATGGCACTTCATTTGTTAAGGTAGGTTCAATATTCGAACTATACAACTCCCTGAGTTCTCTCTACAACTCTTGCAATACACACGACTGACTTGAGCGCCGGAGGGGTTCCGCCGGATCAACCCCGACTTAGTTTACGTGTTATCTGATCTCAAGGTCATCAAGCTCGTGAGCCAGTGATCCACTTTGCTCTTTCACCCAGGCCCGGTTCTGAGGGGAGACGAGAAAGGCGACCGCCTTGAGCCCCCGATTTTTTACGAAATTTAGGGGCCCCCGATTTTGAAAAAAAAAATCTTTATATTATATTAGAATTTATTTATATTATTTTTATTTAAGGCCATTTGTTTCCAAACCAAGATTTACCTAATTAATTATTTATTTAAAGAAGATTTGCAGCAGTTAGAAGCAGTAATTGAGAGAACGTGACTGCCGTCTTACACACCCCCTCTTCGTAATCTTATTTTTTT